AAGTCACTCTTAGTAGTTTTGATCCTCAGTACAATGTGGGGCTAATAACAACCCATAACGGCTGATGTTCACGTTTCATCCCAAACCAGACTTACAGATGTGCTAAATATAAACTCATCATTACTCTCTCAACGCATTCTTCTTTTTTCAGCTTCTTTTACTTTGTGCTTCCATTCTTGGTGTGTCAAGCTGATTATTTCATTCGCAAAGTGACGAGCAAATATTTTGGATCTACTTGAGACTCGTGACTATTTAACACTGGAAACAGTTAGCCTAGCTTAGCATGAAGATAAGAAACAAGTGAAACCGCAGCCTAACTTGGAGTTTTTACACTTGGTTTTTGTATAGATTTAGAACAAAACACCAGAGCGCAGTAGGTGGATTCTGTCGCCTCTAAATGGAGCTAAGCTAGTTATCTCCTCCAGTGTCCAGTCTTATGCTAAGCTAACTAGCTCCTAGTCATAGCTTCGTATTTAAAATCTGAGCATCTCATCAAGAAAGTGGATTTCCCAAAATGTCATTTGAGGATTGTTGGCAAAAAATATTGAAATTTGAGCAGCACATGACTATGGAAGAGGCAGAACGTTTTAATTTCCATCCTTGTCAGGGCGATTTGTCGTTACATTTTCCCCAAAATCTTTGCTCATGAGTTATCGCCTTTCTTTGAACGTCTTCGTTAGACTTTGCTTCATCACACTTTGGCTTCTCAGTTTGTCTGATATCTGCTGCTGTCAGTGTTTCCTCTGTGGTTTTATTCAGCGGTGATACTCAGGAGGCTAATACGCATTTGGTTGATTTGAAATGCAGTATTGTGCGTTGCTAAAATTATTCAATGTACTGCAGTCAACTATGGATAATTGATCGTTAACACTAAAAAGATATCAAGCTGGATTCACGAATTACATAAATATTATAAGAAAAATTTGGCAAAAGTTATTTACCTTTAAAAAAAAACAATTAAAAAAAACAATAAATGTTGAATATTTACTAATGTTCGATTTTAAATAAACATATTGAGTTTTTCAGCTACTTACTTTCCAGTATCTCCTATTGAGCATCGTCCTATTGATTGTGAATCCTGCTGATTTTATTACATTTCTAAATATCTCCCGCTGCATCGCCGTTGAGAGAACACAGAGGACACACGATACTAACTTTCTGCTTCCATCCTCACAGCATCGACTAACCGATTTCCTTCTCATTCATTGATTTGCTTTCAGTTCAGAGCTCTCCGTTGCGGTTTACGTAACTGTACGAGCACGTTGGTGTCCTGGATGGGAAGCGAACGCTCTGAAAGCATCGCCTTGTAGTTTCGCTCGTACATTTTTAATTTTTTTTGAAAGTGTTTGTGTGTTAATGTGAAAGCAACACTTTTGAGGTAATTATTTAGAGCTGCTAGAATGATAACGAAGATGAGAAACAACACAAACAGTTCATATAGTTTCTGTCTCATCGTTTCTCACCTCATCATTGACTGTTGAACTCTATTTTATTGCATTAGAATTAAGTAGTAAATGAAGTAATTGAATATTTAGATTCAGGCTCTTTGTTGTTCTTCCCATCCAACCCCCACCTTCGTCTCTGGAGCCTTCAGCCAATCAGATCGTGTGTCATTGCTTCTGTGCTTTAACGGTAACTGAACTGAATGATGCTGTTTCTCTACAGGCAGCTGACTTCCTGTCTGTTTTTTCATCTTGTTTCCTCCTGCTTTTGCTGTTGTTATTTATTTTCTTTGATCACTCTTTTGATGATTATTAGAAAAAATGAAAATTTCTTATTAGAAAAAGTTTATTTTTATACCTTTTTGCAAGAGAATGCAGGATACTGTACCAAACACAACAAGAGAATCCCTCAGTGGGGAAATTTGCAGCATAAAGTAAGTATAATAATAAAAGTAAACCAAAATGTACATGAGTACTAGTTCTACAAGTGGTATTGCAGGTTTTTTGGATGAACAGAAATACTGATTTTATGACTGCACAGATTGTGCACAGGGTTTTTAAAGTGCAGAATATTCACAATTACCATGAACCATTGGGCCAAAATATAACTATATAATACCTTTCCAGGGTAGGAATGGTAGAAAGAAAATAATAAAGTAATAAAATAAAAGACAGTTCAAGAAAATGAAAACTCTTCTGTAAAAGTATGTTTTCAGAACAGATTTAAAAGACATTAGTGATGAGCTTTAGGACCTTTTTTTGCGGCTAAGGTCTGAAATTGTAGTAAATTCAATGAAACTACATTAAAACTACTTAAACACCAGAGACAAGTTATCGCATAAACTGAACATAAATACAGAGCTTATGGATAACTATGGTCTGTCTGTGTCCCTGCAGCGGCAGCAGCGGAGGCAGCCATCCCAGCAGCAGCAGTCGCAGCAGCAGCAGGGAGAACAGCGGCAGCGGCAGCGTCGGCATTCCCATCGCCGTGCCGACGCCCTCCCCGCCCTCCACCTTCCCAGGTAACGCACGCATGCGTACATACATGTGCATGCAAACTGGTGCCGTGCTGTGTTTAAATTTGACTTTTACGTTGTTTGTATTAACACAGGAAAGAAAAAACTCTGTCGTAGTGAAGCTCAGGAGGATTGTAGCTGGGCTTTATTAGCATTTTATTAAATGTTCAATCCAGTATCAAATATACCAGTCAAATCCACATCAGGTGTAACTTTGGTTGTTTGGAGGTAACTACAGCAATAACTAACCTCCTCCCTGCCTAATTTTTATTTAATTTTAAGTCTCTGCTTTGTGGACATTTCTGAGGCCACAGAACTGAAGTAGAGCACGAAATTTATCAGTAATCGGTCAATAAAAGTGCAGATAATCAGAAAAATTCCCAGTCAGTCACGATAATTAGTCTAACTCTAATTCTGACTAATTACGACCAAGAGGGCCGATCATAGTTGTTGCTGTAACGTTTCAGTGCACAAACATAAATCAAGCTTGAGCTGCACTTTAACCTTCCTTCTTTACTACTTCCTGTTTTCCCTCCTTCCTCTCCTCCTCCCTGAAGTTTCCCCGACTACTGGACCTGCTAGCTCCTCCTCCACAGCTCCTAACTCCTCCCCTTCACCCTCACCGACTCCCTCCTCCTTCTCCTCCTCCTCGTCCACCACCACCCTAACACAACCCAACGCTCCTTTGCCGCCAAACTCACCCTCGCAACACGCCGACTCGTCTCCTCAGCAAAGCTCGCGGCCGAACGCTCCCAACGCCTCCCCGCTCTCTAACCCCTCCCCCAGCGCCGCCGACGTCCAATCAGAACTGTCTCCTCTCCTTCCTCCCGCCCCTCCTCCTCCACTGTCCTCCTCCTCCTCTTCCTCATCACCTGCTGAAGGTGAGTTTCTTCAACACCTCCGTCGCCTGCCAGCCTCACCAGCTCTCCTCCCGTTGTTTCCCTTCATTCAACCTACGTTTTGTAGTTCACAATGTCGGAGTCACGTGTTTCTGTGTTTAATGGTTACTGCTGCAAGAGAAAAACGACTTAGGACTAAAAAATGTGAAGGAATAAGCCTTTATTAGTCCCACTGTGGGAATATCTGCAGTGTTACAGCAGCAAAGATAGTGTAAACGTTTAAGGATTGTAGTGCAAAAGTCAAAAATAGACCAAAACATACACAAGCACGAGTTCTAGAAATAACAGTATTGCACACATCATTGCACAGATTTGTTCATAAGTAGAAAAATAACAATATTGCCCATATTCTAGTATATATGTCTGTGCAGTCTACTGGAATAAATCAACACTTTGGAAAATTCTGTATATTAGCATTCTTGCTGAATCATTAGCGCTGACCTTAACCCTCTAAACCTCGAGCAGTTTCAGTGCTGGTTGGTCTATTTTTCACTGCAGTATACATCAGAAATGCTTTTATTGATCCCCGAGGGGAACCTGCATCTCTATGGAAACAACACGACCACGGCTAGATGAAGACAGAACTTAATAATGTCTTCTATGTATTACAGAAAAGTTAGAATTTAGTGTTTATTTCACAAAAAAAATGACTGGAGTTGACGCACACAGACATTTTCCAGGTGCCCACAGGTGTGAAATGTACTAGAAACAATGGTGGCTCAGCAATACTGTAGATGATTAGCTACTTACATGTTTAATCCTCCTGCGTTAACATATTAAACTAATGGTTTCTCTGTGTGCAGAGGACAGAATTTTTAGTGTTTTATAGAATCTGGTTAGTATTTACTTCTGGGAAATTTTTAGATTTATTTATTTTTGATAGAATCCGTGTTGTGCAAAGTCTGTATTTTTGGCAATTAAAAAAACAAAAAATGTGTATAATAATATTATTTTTTGATGAAGTGTCATTATTTTAAGCTTTGGTTTGTTAAGTTGTTATTTAAAGGAACTCCTCCTCACACATTAGTACTTTACGGACTGGATTTCTGTTTGTTTTTAGCTTCCAGCTTCAATCATTTTAATGATTTTTTTTCAAAAACGGTACGCCTTTTATCTTTAGTGCAGGGGTGTTGAACTCCGGTCCTCGAGGGCTGCAATCCTCCATGGTTTAGATGTTTCCCTCTCCCAACACACCTCATTCAAATGATCAGCTCATCATCAAGCTCTACAGAAGTCTGATAACGATCCTGATCATTAGAATCAGGTGTGTTGGAAGAGGGACACATCTAGAACATGCAGGATTGCGGCCCTCGAGTACCGGAGTTCGACACCCCGGCTTTAGTGGATTATATGTGAGCAGGAAGTTAACTTAAAGATTCACTCAAACTTGCCGTGATAATCTCTTGTCTCCTGCAACAGCAAGAGAACAGGCAGCATTTAACCATATAACAGCTGCAAATGTCGACAACGAAGGCTGTAATTCATTATCCACGGGGAATTATTGTCAAAGTGATGTCTTGTTTTCTTCCACTTATGCGATAGGAGTGTGACCAATCAGGGAGAAATGTGTAGTAAAAGTTTAGACTCAAAGTCAGAAAGCAAACACGGGTCTCTTATGTCACGTCATGTTTCTGACTTCAGACTGAAAAAAAAACATCCTGGAGTTACTAAAACTGGGTCATTTCCAAAAATCTCTCTTTTAGGAGTCCTAAGATGAGATAAGATAAAACTTTATTAATCCCGAAAGACGCTGATGTGTGCGAGCGTAAACATAAATTGTAAGATCAGATAAGATAAGCTGTTATTAATCCCACAGTGGGGAAATGTGCAGCGTTACAGCAGCGAAGCCGAGAGCACAAACATTAAGGAACGTGGTACAGAAATAAAAAAATAAACCAAAATATGCATAAACACTAGTTCTAGAATGAGTTTTACATTAAAAGCTCACTAGTGTGGATGACGCCTGAAGCTCACGAGCCTAAAGAATTAATTTATTCAAACATAAAAAGCTCAGGTTAGCCGTGTCCTTCAGTTCCCAGTGTTGATGCTAAGCTACGCTAACCAGCTGTGAGTGATAATAGTGGATATTTTCATATAATTCTTGATCTTACTGTTGACTTACGCCCTTAAATTCAAAATGTTATTGACGAGCAGCCTGCATTGAAATAAACAAAAGTATTTTAAAAAGTGTGGCACAAGATAATCCGACCAAGACGATGAATAACAACGTTTACTTATAAAGCATCTCTGCTGCTTCAGGTCCCATCGTCCCTCAGTTCTACAGCATGAACCGGCCTCAGCCTCGACAGCAGACTCCTCAGGTGGGGGGTTCGCTGCCGTACCGCCGGCCCCCCTCTGTGACCGGCCAGCCAATCGTAACGCAGAATCAGGTCAACGGCGGCCCCTACTACAACCAGAGCCCAGGTACGTACCGTGAAACACCACGAAAGTCCTCGCTGAGAGCGCAAACTGGTTCATAGTGGATCAAAATTAACTGTTAGCATAATTAAAAAAAAAAAAAAAAGTTCACGCCTGACTGTCTCATTTGTCTGATTTTTTAAAATTGTTAAGTAACATGTGTAAAATCTGGACTCACAAGATGGGTCATGTTGATTTTTGTGCAGTTTTCTTTGCGCCAATCTGTTTGAAGAGCAATAACTTGAGAAATATTGTGGTTAGAGTCCTGAAATGTTGCAGGTTCATTGATCTGACATGTGGTCTTTAATGGTAGAATCCTGCTTTGATAACAGTTATATGATGGTGCACATTTGGTCGGAAAATGTGCATGTTTTTTTCTACTCCAACCATAAAACTTTTACTTTTCACCCTACAAGATAGATTTTTTTCCCCTGGCATTGGCACCAAATATTTAGAATATGGCAGAGGCATACTTTATGAGAAAAGTACACATTTATAGCCAGTATTTGAACATGCATTAAGCAGGTATATAAAAAAAAAAAATCAACATGACCTCACCCCTCTTTGGTACCTTGAACTCCAGGTTTTACTTTATAGTCGACTCAATCAATACTCAACATTCTGTCCAATTGGAGATGGTCAGGTGTGGAGTATCCTTTGAATTGAGGCAGAATGACCCAGTAGTATGTTATTAAACTCTAGCTTTGTGTGTTCACAGCCTCCCCTCCACCTCCGTCCCTCCTCCAGTTCACCCCTCAGCTTCCTCTGATGGGTTTCGTCGCTCGTGTTCAGGAGTCCAGTGAGTAAAACCGCAGCTTTTTTTTTCAATCCTGCATCACAGAAATGTTTCCTTTCATATTATTGTGTCCGCCTCTGTTGGCATAACGTACCTCCGCCTCCAGTTTCAGACGCCCCTCCTCCCCCCCAACCTGCCGCCGAGAGCCAATCAGGGCCCGAGGAGGCCCCGCCCACTCCTGAGCCGCTACAGGACGGACACGAGGAGGAGGACTCGGCCGTGGTGGAGTACAACGACCCGTACGCTGAGGAAGACCCTCCGTGGGCCCCCAGGAGCTACCTGGAGAAAGGTACGCCTCAGGAACACGTGCAAGGTCTACAAGCTCCGCCCCACTTTATTAATCCAGCTGTGATAAACTGATCAACGTATGATTTGTGTTCCTTGGTAGCATCTCTGCCGGACACACTGATTCAGATCCACGTTTTAATTCATTTGGAACTTCCTTGCTTTAAATATTTCTTATCTTCTTGTTGGTTGGCAGCAGATCAGCTCAGAACCAACTTCAGCGGCTGCTTGTTGTTTAATTTCACTCCTTTGATGAGAGTCCATTTATTCTATTTCGGTCCGATTTTAGACATCTGATTTTTGTTTTCGTCTAACAAAAGCCAAAGGTGTCTTAGCCTCGTGTTTGTTGAATCCGACCGCAGCTGTCGCCATCTTTTTGCACACGGTTGCCATGGTTACACGTGTCATTCTGGTGTATTTTGATGAAACAGCAGAATGACTGTGTTTACACGCACCAGTGTTTCTGTGATGAGGTGGTTTTGGTCACATTCAGGATGCGCTGTTTACATGGAGCACAGAGAAATCTGGTGATTCATTTCCCCGTATACACGGTTAATACTAGTATCCTGGTTACTGAGGGCCGCCTGCTAAAATTAAGACGCTTTGGCTGTTAACAGGCTCTGCACAATGAAATTACACTTCTTTTTTTTTTAATTCACCTCATTGACAACAACAGGAGGCAAAAGTGACGAGAAGTTATTAAACAACCGAATCTTTGTTGACATGTGTATATGCGACAGTATCCTGGTTTGTATCAGAATTTCAGACGGCTTAGTTGTTTTTCTCCAAACTGGAAACCCTCCAACAAACAGACATGAAAACAAGATGCTACACAAACCTGATGATGGCGGAAAAACTCAAGTCAGTGACTCTCTTCAGTTCTTCTAGTTCTAATTACAAACTCAGTTTCAAGAGGTGATTTGGTCTCCAGTCAACGCTGCTCATCCAGCATTAGGATTAGCATTAGCACAGCCACACACAGACGCTGATTTACTAAGATCTGGAATACAGCATTTCTGATACAACAAAAGTTTTTCTTCCATTTTTTTTTCTGTTTGTAGCGTGAAAAATGTTCAGCTGACATAAACTTAGCATTTTATAAATGTCAGCTGCTGCCTGCATGTTCCTACGGTTGTTTCTTGTTTAATGTTCAGTAAAATGTAAATGAATTTAGTCCATAAATCTGTATCTTAACGTCACATAGCGTTACTGACAGAGACGGAACTTTACTTAAATACAAGATGTTTAATATTGACTGCAACAAGTCAAACAGATAAACCAGCTTTTACTGATCAGAAGCTGCACTTTCAATGATTTTTTTTTTGGTATTTAGTCGTTATTTTAAAAGCAGCAGCACAGAAAGACCTGAAATGCAGAGAAAGAGAGCAGGACGATGACCAGTTACGCTCTAACCATTACATTAAAACAGTCATCAGTTCGTTTATTGTCCATATTTTACTTTAGGGATTTAATTTGTTGTGGAAAAATGTAAAACTTGTGTTGAACTCTGCTGCACTGCTTCATAAATCACTCAACATGCTGCTCGTCAGTAACACTATTTCGGCGTGTTTGTCGCCCCCCAGTGGTGGCCATCTACGACTACACGGCCGACAAGGAGGACGAGCTGTCGTTTCAGGAAGGAGCCATCATCTACGTGATCAAGAAGAACGAGGACGGCTGGTTCGAGGGCGTGATGAACGCCACCACCGGCCTCTTCCCCGGAAACTACGTGGAGTCCATCATGCACTACGCCGACTGAGGAGAAGCTGCAGCTCGGAAGGGAAAAGCCGACTCGGTTCCACTTTGTTTTGTTTGGCTCCTTTAGATTCTCACTAACAATCAGAGCTTGTGGAGATAAATCAACACTTTGTTAATATGTTTACTGGACAGAGATGCTGTCATCTTGAGGCTTTGCATTTAGGGGTTCTTTGAGTAGGTGGTCTGCACTGCCTCAACGTTAAGCCGGTTAAATGTAAAAACACACAAAAGTTCGTCCGCATCAGGCATTTTATCTACCGCTTGGTATAAATGGGTCAAAGCCTTGTTGTGCTTCATCTTCCTGGTTTAATTCAAGAAAGCAACGACATGCAGCACTTTTGCCACAACCAGTTTTCTCAGATATGCGACAGAAAAAGGAAAGAAAAAGATAAAGACCTGGACGTGTTCTTAATTTAATCTGGTGTGTCAAACATCTCCACACATCCAGGTTTGCACCGTGGTGGTTGTTTTTTGTTTTTTGTTTTATCTTTTATCTTTTTCTGATGTCCTCAGAAGTCGGTACGAACAGTCGACCTTCCAAGTGATGCCGTTTATCCAGCAGCAATATGAAACGTTTATCCAGCCACATAATCTAAACCAACTTAAACAGCAATAACCCCGAGCAAAAGCAATCCTCGTAGGTAATAAATGCTTTTCTATTGCACAAAAAGGGGACGATCTCCCCACAGTCCAACAAAACAATTAGATGGTGACCAGTGTTTCTGTGATTGTACAGAAACATGAAATTTTAAATGTAGTTTTCTTCTGATCACAAGAAATGCGTTGCAGGATCTTGACATGAGTTTAAAGCCGCTCGATGTGCGGTTACATGTCCAGGAATGTCATGGGAAATCACGGAAACGCTGCTGTTCAGAGAATTCAGACAGAAACTGCTAGCAGCTTATTTTGCGTCGACTCGTCAGAATGCGAGCGAAGACTTTTTTGGCCGTGCACGGTTTTGCTATTACAGATGTTTATCCTGAATTGAAACTGAAAACTCGTGGACAAGAGGCAGAAATGGCCGCCGTAGAACACACAGAGTGAAGCTCGTGTGCAGATTGGTGGCGTTTCTGAGTAATCCAACATATTGTGAATTAAAAACATGACTTTACTAAACAGCTATAAATAAAGCAGCTCAAACGGCTGACAGAGAATTACAAACGCTGTCAGAAGCTTTTTGTTTAGTTGTAATTTAGTAGTAATTCGTGGAAAACAAATCCTTCCAGGTTTGTCTCAGAATCTTTTGTGATCAGAAGAAAATGATGCTTTGGAAATATTCCCTCAACTCCTCGTTCGTTTAACCTTTGCCTTAACAGACACCTTCCACCTTCCTGTTTTCTCATCAGCTTTATTATTGTTATTTTCTGTCAGCGAGGTTTAAAAAAAATGATATTAAAATAAACTACAGATGAAGTAAAGGAATAATGAAGCTTGACACTAATCAAACTGCAACAGAAGAAGGAAGCAGGAACGTTTGAAGGTGTGTGAGAGAGTTTTGGTGGTTTGTTGGTTAATCGTGGGACTATGATAAGTTTCCTTACACGTCTTCCTGTTGATGTGTAACTGTGTGAAAAGAAAGTCAAAGGAAGGAAACGGTCAGATCATATTTGACCTTAACACCCACGTGTTGATCAGTGTCGAGGAGAGCCGCCTGTGTGTTCATCAGCTGATAGTTTAAAGATTTTATTGCAAAATGAATGATCTTTACAGGACAGTTGAGGTTATTTAAGGTAGTTTATTATATAATTTACAATAAATCTGTAAAGTTCAGTTCATCTAATTTCAAAGATAAATCAAACAAGCCTCTTATTTAATCTAAAGTTTTCGTTTCATAGAAGTCAGTTAAAACGGTTGAACGCTTATTTACGGTTCACAGAAGTTATATCCTGTCGGCCTTTTTTTGACGCTCCGTCTGGTTCAGTCAACAAAACTTTGGTTTAAAACTAAAGACATCAGCTCGTGTTTGCTAATCGACTGTAAACATTTATATTATCGACACCAGTCAAATCGCAAGGACAGAAAAAACAACACCTCGCTGAGTGTTAGACGACACAAATGCTGATTTGCAGCAGAATCAGGAGCTCTGACGTGTTTTCTCTCCGTGTTTCTGATCCGAACGCAGCACTACAAATGTAAAACACGTTAAAAGCTTAACCGATTGAGTTCTGACAGCTTTTTAAATCTGCAGTAACGATCTTTGTGCGTAGCTGCTGTGTTGTGTTGTTGCACTCTGTGCTACAGAAATGCAGCCAGATTTGTAGACAGACAGCAAAGTGCACAGCTAGAGTCACCAGACGGCTAAATAAGCTGTACAGTCATGTGTTATTGTGATTTCAATGGATTTATTATCGATAGAAACTCAGAAACACTTGATTCCTTTAAGCTATGAACTGTGAATAATCAAACTCATTTTCTTAAACTTTCTCGTTAAAGTGGATCAGAAAGTCGACAGAGAGTCTAAATGATCAGGAGGTGGATGAGGCAGGAGATCATATAAAAGCACTTGTCTCCTGTGCTGTGGGTTTAAGGGTTCTGTTTTTGTAGATTTTAAAGCAATCGAGACCTTAAATGAAAGAGTTGCAGCCTTTCGATTAGTTTGCCGTCCAGCCTGAAAGCTTTAAGTAATGATTGACCTGAAAAAACACAACATAAGCACTTGTTTTTGTTTGTTTTTTTCAAGATATTTCTTCTAGTTTTTGGCTATTTTTATTAAAAAGTGGCTGCAGCAACACTAGAGTTCCCCTCCTGTGGCCTTTAAAATGTGAAACCTCTCAAATGAAAAGCCTGATATTAGCTAAAGCACAACCTAACATATGATCGTATTTGTCACCAGGACCAGACCAGGCTACGATCCTGTGAAGAAAACTGATCAGACGTACTAGAAGTTTCTCCCCAGTCTGACCTCTGAGCCTTTTTATTTTTCTCTCATCGTGGTTTCGTGGTTGCGTAGTCGTGCAGTGAAGTGGACCTGAACGCGTCGCCGGGTGGAGATTCTGGACCTGTTGCCAGTTTTTAAAAGTTTACAGTGTGTTTGCCTGCATGCCTGATATATAACTGACATTTTTACTCACCGCGTTTTCATAGTCTTCATGTTCTTTATTTCTTTTTCTTTTTTTTTAATATATATATATATATATCTATAGTTTCACCGACTTGCTTTATTCTGTCTGTTTGACCAGCTGGAGGTTTGTGATGTTTCTGTGCAGTTGTTGGTTGTGACGGCCCTTTAACGGAAGTCCTGCGTGCTCGGACTTCAGACGGACGCTCAGATGGAGGCGGAGGATGTTTCTGTGCCATATGTGTGTGTGTGTGTTGTGGATGCAGATGTGTGTGTGTGTGTGTGTGTGTGTGAGAACCAAACCTTCCCTCGTCGACTGAAGTGACTCTGGACCTGAGAACAGTGTTCCCTTGTTGTACAGTGTTATTTAAAAGGCATTTTACCACAAAAGCCAGAGTTTGCCAAATGAACGCTCCTGAAGTTTGTCCAGAAACTCACTTCAGTCGTCTCACTGCTTCCTGAGAGGAAAAAGGATATTCTCATTGTTAGAGACATTTCTGAAAGGCTCAGTATGAAACTGTTTTCCATCAGTTTATGTTTTCTAAAAGCATCTTTAGTGACAAAACCACAACTAATACTTATTTTTATTATGAATGAATCTGCTTCATTTGTCAAATACTTTATTATATGTCCAAAAAAAATGACAATAAATTGTTTTAAAAATTGCTTATCTGCCGAGCAGACGTCTTTAAATGATAGTAATTTTATTTATATCCAGTTGTGTCAGCACAAACTGTTACACAGACTGAAGTGAGAACAGAATGATATAATCAGAACCTCTTTGACCCAGTTTTTGTGAAAAACCTTCAGATGAACACTACATATAACAAAAGCAGCACAGAGCCTCTACATAGAACAGAAAAAGTTGTAAATTCAAATTAGAAATTAATAAAAATACAAACAGAATACATGATTTTATTGAAAATGCATAAAAAGCAGCCAAAAGAATTAAGCTGAGCAGTAAAAAAAAACAAAAAAGCCATTAATAATACTTTATTATATGTCCCAACAAATGACTTATTGCTTATTAGAATCTTCCAGATGCCAAATAAACATCTTTAAATAATAGTAATTTTATTTATATCCAGTTGTGTCAGCACAAACTGTTACACAGACTAAAATGAGAACATAATAATACAATTAGAGCCTCTTTTACCCCCTTTGTGAGAAACTTTAGAGCCCAAATGTGAAGGAATGAACACTAAATATAGCAAAAGCAGCACTGAGCCGGTACATAAAACAGATAAAAATGTTAATTCAAATTAAAGACATGAATTAAAATACAAATAGATTGCATGATTGTATTGAAAATGCAACCAGAAGAATTAAGCTGAGCAGTAAAAAAAATTAAAAACGGATCCATAAATAACGACAGACAAACTTCAGAGTGACTGAATCTCTTTGAAAAGAGAAACTTTGGCAAACTCTGGTTTTTGTTCCGCCTGCAATATCCCTTTAAAGTGTGGACTGAGGAATTAGACTATCTGTGAAACGCTGCAGATGGCTTCTCCGAGGCTGATTTTTACCAGGAACCTGCTTCGTCATCCTCCCTGCAAACATTTCATGATGAGAAAAACGCCTCCAATCTGGATCCAAAACCCACAAAGTAAACAAATGAATTGTACTTGAAGTCTATTCAGGTTTGAACTAAACAGAAAACAATCAATCTGTCTGGGAAAGTTTTTACCAGATGGTTGCTGTGTTTTTACCTATAAAATCAAATCTCATATTCCTACTTTTGAAATGCATTGAACAGATGCAAGTCAAACAGAGACTTCACCTGAACGTTTAGCTTTAAGGTGACAGTTTATCAGATTATCAGCCTTTAGATTAGATTATTGTGTTCCCTCCTCCGTCTGCAGGATGTTCCTGGTAGAACATGATGTCCGGAGAAGCGTTCTGCTTTCCAAAGTGAAGTACGACTAAAAGCACATCGCTCTTTTGTAAGAAAGAAGAAAAGTGAAATTACTCAGTAAATGTTTTAACAGCTCTTCTTGTGTTTCTGCTGATTATTTATTCACAGCTTGGATCATTTTGAAAAGGTCGTATTAATACGATGGAGGTTAGAAGGTTTACGACCATAAGAGATGCAAAGACTTTGCACAAAACACAAGCTGAGTTAGAAAGTTAATTAAAGCCTCCGAGTGTTATTCATAATACTTACAAATAATAAAGTCTTAATTTTGTTTTTCACCAGAACCCACTGAGTCCAGTGGTGTTCATGTTATTACATATGTTGGTGTGTTTGTCTGTAATTTTAAGTTAAATCAGACTTTATTTGTATATTGTAGCATCTTTCATACAGGTTAGGAGAAAAAAATGACTGACAACCTCATAACAGTTTAAAAGCAAAAGACTTACACAAAATTAAAAATGTGATTTTAAAATAATTAACAAATTCTCCAGGAATTAATAAATGAGATAAAACTTAGTGAAACAGATACGAGAAGGACAAAAACATGAAGACAGAGCAGAACATTTTAAAATGATAAATAAGGACCATTAACATTAAAACCAAATGATTTATTTTTTTAATGGATAATACACAACATTTATACAGAACTATTGTACTATAGTGAAAAGGAATAAAATTGCAAACAAATAAATGGTACAACAAACGTATTTATTCATTCAACCTTTGTTTAAAGTTCAAATACATTTATCTGTGGAAGCCTCATTTACAATGTCACGTAGTAAGAAAGATAAAAAATATATATAAAATATTAAAATGCAAAGTTAGTAAAATAATTTTTTTTTAAAAAACGTTAGATAGAGCATTTAAGATTTATTTTTAAAATGACAACTAAAAATAAGAGCAGCTTGGTGTAAAATAAGTTAAAATAAATGAATTGCCTGAAGGATGAGTACAGCTGTACGTTGCTACATTGGTTTTTCCAGGTTGCAAGTACACAGTGAGGAAAACTGGATATTTCAAGCTCAGTAAAAAAATAAAAAAAACAGGAAGTGCCTTATAAATAAACGAAGACATTTGTCTGTCACATTTTATATTCATATATATATATATATATTTAAAAACTACACATTTGTACAGTTAATTCACGAAATGTGTAGGGCCCGTTGCTTTTAGCACTTTTTTTATAATTACTTTTTTATTTTAAGTTATAAATAACTTTACATTCAATACGTTTTCCGGTGGTCATTTTATTTTGACAAAGCAGAACACCGCAATGGCGTATGGGTACAGGAAGAAGTTAGTTAGCCAGCTGAGCTAAGCTGTTGCTATTTTCTCGTTCGTTTAACATTAGAAGTTTTGTTTTTTTTTTTTTTTGCTATTTTTTAAAATTGCCACACATAGATAGTGAGTGTGTTCGGTGACCAGATTTCACTTTAAAATGTTTTTAAGACGACATTCCCGTTCGGACCGGAAGTGAACCCCCAAAGCGGAAAACTACTCGACCCACAATGCACCTCGCCGGCAGAGTCAAATCTGAATTTAAACGGCGAGTGAAGCAGACTCACGTTTAACTGTAGCGAAACCACTCGTGTAGAGTTGTGTACTTCGTTCTGCGGGCTTTTGCTGGCTTCGAAGGATTGTTATGTAGTTCCGGAACCGCTCAGTGTGGAAATTTTCACGCACACAGTTGAGTTTTGTTATGACTTGGCTGCTTTTTTTTGGTCAGTTAGCGCCGCTATGCTAGCTAGGCTAACTCTTTGCTAAGCGTTCTTTGGAACTCGCGCGATGACTTTCAGCTGTTAACTTTTTGTTTGTTTGTTTGTTTCCTCTTTAAAGATGGTTTAACTCCGCTGGTTTGTCACAGAGATGGCTTGCCGACTTTAGCAACTGAAAAACACGCAGCTGTGAAACGGTTCGAGTCCAGGTGAGGAGACCATGACGCTCGCCCCGAAGGAGCTGTCCAACCTGCTGAGCATCATCTCGGAGGAGGCTTGCACCAACACCTTCGAGAGCCTCTCCACGCACTTCCACCACTACTTCGGCAAGGCGGAGCACTTCAGGGTGGGCTCGGTGCTGGTCATGCTCCTGCAGCAGCCGGACCTGCTGCCCAGCTCCCCGCAGCGTCTTACCGCCCTCTACCTGCTCTGGGAGATGTACCGCACCGAGCCGCTGGCCGCCAACCCGTTCGCCGCCGTGTTCGCCCACCTGCTGAACCCGGCGCCGGCCGGAGAGGAACCGGAGAAGGTGTTGTCAGGTAGGTCCGAGAGCGCAGAAGAGCTTCTGTCACCCGGAACTGTGTTGGTGAAGTGACAGAAAATCAGCTGCTAGTAAGCTTGGTTAATAATTCATTGTTTTTGCCACGTTTTAATGCAAAAATACCCCCAAAGAGATTCATTTTTTAGATAAATCAATCTGCTTAAGTTGTCAAATACACACATCCACATGACACACACATACTCATACATGTCTTTGCACATGCGCACTTCACACCACTACATACAGCAATAAGTCACTTTGTGTTTCACTTTCTATTTTAAATGCCGTTCTGTGGCCACTTTATATTTAAAAATGTGAATCCGTATTATAAATATCCTCATAAATAAGGCCAGGCAGGCTCTTTGTTCTTTGTTTTTTGCCCTGTACCTTGTTTTTGTGTGTACAAGCCTGACCAGGTACACAACACATTTTACTGCTCACGGCACC